GTGCTTTTGTACCTTGTACCTTTCTTTCTATTATTTAGGGATTGTATTTTTATTCTTTTTAAAGAGTTGCATGATTGCAAGATGGGCAGCATATAAATTGATTGATTGATTGATTGAATGAATGAATGAATGAATGAATGAATGAATAAAAAAAGTTCCTAGCCTGAGTTTGCCAGCAAGACAAACTCTATATGCTGCATCCTGATAAGGCTTGTGGTCTTATCACCACAGAGATGGGGGAAGGGGGAATCTTAGGAGAATGAGGCAGTGGTGGGATTCAGCCGGTTTGCACCACTTCGGCAGAACCGGTAGCTAATTTTTTGTTGCCCAGGCCCAGAATAGACTTCTGGAAGCAGCATCCACACAGAGAACCGGTTGTTCACATATTTGAATCCCACTATTTGCATAAGCTTGAGCCAATGAGGAAAAGAACAGTGTTTCCTTAGAAAGAAGTTCCTGAAAAACTCAATCAATCAATCAATCAATTTATATGCTGCCCATCTTGCAATCATGCAACTCTTTAAAAAGAATAAAAATACAGTCCCTAATAACAGAAAGAAAGGTACAAGGTACAAAAGCACAATGCTAGTGGTAATATTGACTATCTGTATATTGTACCTATAGATTTATGTCTCTGAGTGTGTGTGTGTGTGTGTGTTTGTGTCTCTGTGTGTGTCCGTGTGTATGTCCGTGTGTGTGTGTGTGTGTCCGTGTGTGTCCGTGCGTGTGTGTGTGTGTGCGTGCGTGCGTGAGAGAGAGAGAGAGGGAGGGAGGGAGGGAGGGAGAAGAGTAGGGAATGGTTGAGGAAGCCACCAAAGGACAAGACTGACCCAAAATCATATCTGCCTGCCTGCCTGTGTATCATCTCTGCCTATCCGTTAGCCTGCCTGCCCCCCTCGCTTTATTTATCTATCTATATCTATTTTTTGTCTGGTTGTCTGTCCATCCAGCTATCCCTTCCTATCTCCTGAAAAGTATTATTTCAAAAGTTATTAATTTGAATAATATAATTTTTTTCTGGTCAGATATATGTACGTTGATATTATAACAGTCTAAAACAATAACTAAAATTATGTTTTTATTTTAGGAAAGATTCATTTGTAGTGATAGCTTATAGAAAGAATAGTGTTACTTTCACAATATCACCATCAATAAAAAAAAGATTATCTCAACTAAATAGCTAAAACTGTTCAAGAGGCACCACTGACTCTGATCCTGTTGTCAGTTTCATGACTATCCTCTTCCTCCATAGACTTTTTAATTCCTAACTAAAGTTCTGTAAGTATCAAGTCTCCTAAGAGCCATCTTTATATCTCAAATATTAATTTATATTCACAGAAATCAAGGCAAAGAAAAAGAAAAATAATTGAGAAAGGTTGCTTGCAAAAAACATAAAGCTACCTAGAAATGTCCAAGATCAGTGTGCATGAAATAAACTGCCAACCTAATTTATTGGTCTCCAAGCAAGAAAAAAATATAAATACCTTTTTTCCCGTTTGAGTACCTTGGATGAAAATTACATAAATATTATCAGACAGCTTCTCAGAAACAAATTTATTTCTATACTCATTAATTTTCCTAAATCCAGATGGTTCTGGATGGGGAATGATGGTAAACACATTGGGCAAAGGTTTTGAAGCGCTACTTGATTCCACTTCTCAGCCTCAACTATAAACCCCATTTTACTTGAATGAATTTTTCAGAAAGCCAAATTCTTGTATCAGTTTCATAATGCCAATTTTTCTGCTTCCCTAACTCAATCATAGAATGTGCACAAAATACTCTATGCAATATTTTTTTTCCAGCTATCCAGTCCAGTTTTCATCTGACCAAACTTCAACAGGGCAGCTTCATTCTTTATTGCTGAAAGATATTTATTTGCATTATTATTTTCAGTTATAAAGCTCTGCTTTCTCAGCTTAAAACACTTCAGAAAAAACTAAAAGCCTTCAAAGAATATGTCAGTGTATTCATTCTAAAGGGAGCACTCATATCTTTTTTATACAGATTCAAGAAGTTCAGAACTTCAAACCAAAATCCAGGAACATCTAAGGCTGACCTTACAATATAACAATGATCAGAATATCAATTCCGTACAAATTTGTACACCCAAATATTGTTCCTCTTAGGTTCCTGCCCCAGATTTAAAGTGACAGCTTGAGAAATTTCAGCATTCTTACACAAAACTATATGATTCTTAGGAGTGAGACCCTGAAATCTCATAGGATTGCTTGAAATCACATGAGATTATCAATGTAAAAAATGATTTACTCTGATTTTGGGGTCATTCAATACCTTAAATGTTTGCTAATTCCTGCTCAAAGCATTTTCATATAAGATCTCATCAAAGCTTTTTGACTCCCATGCAAGATCTGGGCAACATTATTATTTGACTATTGTATGACTATATAACACAATACAAGGGAAGGTTGATCGCATAAATTCACCTAAGAAGCTCATGTTTGAGCCAAAGGTTTGAACATATATCCAGTTTAAAGCTTGGACTTTCAATTTCTACAGTGATGTTACTTCATCCAGTACTTCATACTGGATCCATTTATAAGTAGGAAGTTAGCTTAAAACTGTATTAACAATAAAGTGTAATTGTGTAAACCTCAACCATGAAAAAGAGAGTAGAGTATGAAATCAGAATATGAAATCAGAAAATCTACACTCCTATATGTTCCTCATTTCCTCACCAATTGAATGCTTTTAGTATTTAGGTTCCATCTGCACCAACAAAAAAAGTTTATCCTGTACAATTTTTAAAAATCTGTTTAGCACTTGGGTGGGAAAATTCCAGGGAAAGCAAGAGTTCTGGATTAAACTGAGAAACCCCAACAACATCCCAGAAGGCAACAACACAGCACTCCTGAGTTGTTACTAGGATATTTAATTTAATTTGAAGCAGGCTTTGATTTATGTATTTCATTAATGACCCAGCTAATACCCAAATTGAGTAATGTTGATAAGGCAAGTTTAATGGGAAAATCAGACATCCAACCAACTTGAAAATGATCAATAAATTGGCCTATCAAATTCAAATAATAGGCCAATTCATTATCAAATCAGATTGCTAAAAATCTTGCATTATTTCATTTCATTCTTGGCTAAAATGGCACTAGATTTCCTGTGTGAATACTGAATTCTCATGTAATGTAGCAATTCTTATTTTAGACTTTTAATGTCCTTAATTAAAACTACACATTATATTTCAGGATCCATGGAGACCATCTTAAGTGTCATAGATGTTCTAAAATTCATTGGTGCCATAATAATGATCTGTGTCTTACAGCTTGGACTTCTATGACTGTCTCCATATTCTGGTCCCCATAAAAAGTAGACTTACTCTCTCTTCTCCCATCCCTAGTAGGTTTCCATTTCCTAAGATGTTTATTCATACTGTCTTTCATTTTTTGTGCCCTTCAACAGCACAGCCTCTGAACTCTGCATAACCCAATTGCTAAATAGAATATGGTCATTGTATAATGGTATACAGGTTTTTACTAAAACATCAACGTCAAACTACCAGATTAAATCAGCTGTGTCTCATTGTTCAGAAGAACAGAAAGTTCTGAATTCTGATTTTTTTTCCTGATAGTACATTTTAAGAGTAGAAGATGAAACTGTAAAAACAAGTAGCAACTCTACAGAACAGTCTCTGTAACATCTGACTTACCTGTCCCCAATCTGCCCCCATTTATTATATAAAGAACAGGATGCATTTTATATTCTGATAACAATAGCAATAGAAACATCAGATAGAACAGGCTTAAATAATATAGGCCTCTCTGCCAATTCCTTTATCCCCTGGCAACCTTACTATCTCTTCTAAAACTTCCTGCTGCTTAGCAATAACACCTGCTGCCTGCTATAAGCCTGTTTTCTTTTGCAATGCTCGTAGGGTTTTTTTTTTTTTTTTTTGCAAAGAAACAAAATACACCTAGAGATAACAAACACATCCTTCTGGGCACAGTAAGTATCATGTTCACAGTTACGGGAAACAGTAGACGAAGTTGCCATAGAAGTAGCCAGGTCACCTAGGTTCAAATAGGAACGATCTCTGCAAAGGAAAAAGTTAACACTGACACATTTCACCACTTTATAGATGAAGAGGTCTATCTGTGTGCAAGTGTGTATGCGAGTTTCTCCTATACAAATCTTTTCTGCAGATCTTAAAAATAAGATTCACCATGCCAGGTCTGTCGCTGATCTGCCAAGTTATGAATAAAAAGAATTAACATTTATTTTTACTTATTAATGAAAAGTAGGACTAGGGGTTACATGATAACAGTGTTCCAATATTTGAGAGGTTGCCACAAAGAAGATGGGGTGTCAGAACCCTGTCTTTCTATGTGCATGAGGTTTCTTGTTCTTTTTGGGTTCTGCCATTCTCCTGGGGAGGGAGGGGGAAGCTTGGGGTTGCTGATTGTATTTCCTTTGCTCTGTTCCTTGCTCTATTCCTCTCTGATGTTTCTCCATTGGGGTGAGAATGGAATGTCCCTTTGGACATCTGCCTTATCTCCAAGTGCGGAAGAAGCAGCGTGGAGACCAAACAGTCTTGGAAGCGGAGCCTTGTTGCCCCATTCCCACAGCATTTTCACACCTGTGGATTGGCCTGTTTGAACCATCCAGTGGACAGTTGGGGTGGGATTACTATTGATTCTTTTGACCTATTGATTCATGCAGAAACCCTCAGATCCTGCCTTCTATTCCTGCTGTCAACATCTCCCGATAAAAGTTCCTTTTGAAATGATGTTCATTTCAAAAGTTCTGCTTTCTTGGGAGGACTGATTGAGGCAAGTCCTTACAGGGGTTCAACTTATTCTTTAAAACACCTGAAGGCAGGACAAGAACTAATGGAAGGAAACTAATCTAGGAGAGAAACAACCTAGCACTAAGGAGAAATATATGTTTCCAGTGTCAAATGTCCTAGGTTTAATCTCTCTGGCATCACCAGATACAGCTGAAAAAATGCAGCTGAAATCTTTGATAGTAACCAACAGTCCTAATCACATTAAACATATGCAACAAAAGCATAGTTATTTCTCAGCAAGACTGGCTGAACCTTTAGTAGAGTGAGGTAACTGTCTCAGGTAACTGATTTGGATATTTTGAGAAGTCAAATGATTATTTATTTTTGGATTTCTGCTGTGAGGTTTTTCTTGCAAAGCCCTTAATAAGTTGCCTGACTTCGGCTACAGAGCACTCTGCCTTTGATTGGTGAGAAGTTCCTTTTGCTCTTCTACCTTAACTAAGAAAATGTCTTGCTCTCGCTCTGATTTCCAGAGCCCTTTGGGGGGGGGGGAATTGTGGTTCTTTGGAGTTTTAAATAGCTTAGCAAAACAACAATTGTGAGATCAATTCTCTTATGTGAATCTTTTCAGGGCTAACAGTATGTGTTTCCAACAATTTTTAGCTGGTGGGCACAGTTAAAATGTTAAGAATATGTTATAGATTATGTTCAATACCCCACCATCCTTTAGGCTAGCGAGTTGTTTTCTACCAATGCAGATTATCTTTATTTTTATTATTTTTTTTGTTTGTTTGATTTGGGAAGGGGGCAAAGTGGGCCATTTTTAAATTATCAATCATTTTTAAACCATTATCTAAAAATGGTTTTGTGCTTCTTAAGAACACATCAGAATTCCTATTTCATAAGGTCTGTTTGCAGCTGGCATGCAGAAAATGTATGATTTATTTTTCTTGCAAGTATTATTTTTAAGGTAAGTACTATGTATCTAAATAATACTGTTTGAATCAATAACTGTCACATTACTACTGACATTGTTTTTCTCCTCTAACCAAACTGGCTTTGCAGACTTTTGAAGCAATACAAAAAGCCCACTATAGTTATCACTTAGAAGAATTAATATGAGCAACACAAGTGGTTACATTTCTTTCAAATCAGACTCAGCTATATAACAATTATTTGTGTTCTTCCATTTCAATGTACCCTAAATGTGGTATCTCATTAGCATGCATAAAACAGATGTAAATTTGGTATCTATCATTACTATAAAGAGAATCTAATGTAAATACAGTAACATTTTTATGCAAACATTGGAAAATCCTATTTTTACATTAGTCTCTTGACTGTTCTACTAGAGTCTTCTGATTTACTGCCCCACATTAAGAATTTTATGAATACAATAATAGGAAAAAGGCTTTCATTCATTTCAGAACTTTATTGGACCTCTCTGGCTTTGATATTGGACAGAGGTACTCTTCCAATTAAAATACATTTTAACACATCTTTTTTGGTTATAAAGCACTTCATACAGCAAAATCATAGCATTAATTATTAGATGTATGTGATGTGTGTGTGTGTGTGTGTGTAGGAAGTTTTTCAGACAGACCGGTCTGATTGATTACACCTTGGCATTTTTACCTGCTATACTGCAGTTATACTTTTTACAATCTCTTTTACATACATGTAAATAAACATGTATATACACATGTTTATATGTGTGCAATAGGTTTGAGTATGATTGTTCCCCATCTTCATTTAATCTAAAAAGCAGAGTTTACTTTCCTAGAATCTATCTGCTTAAGAAACAAACAAAATTTGCATTATAGCAGGAATGTTAGCCAAAATTCAAGATGTTCAGCGCTAATTAGCAAGATAATCATGTAGACTGATTAATTGCAACAAAATAATGTGCTTCCTTTGTACAAGCTTCATTAACTAGGCCTGAGTCATGCTGATGCACACTGGTGCAATTGGATGGCACCAGCATTCATCTTCCTGTCAGCTCTTCCATCCTTCCCCCTCCTGCTTCATCTAGACTTGCCGTACCAATGCCCTGTTGTAACATCTGCTGTGAAATATGGGCAAACAGGTCATTCCCTTAAAGTTGATACTCAATGATCACCTGCCCTCTTTTCTTCCTGCCCCCCCACCCCCACCCCATATAAATTATTCTTACCAGATAAAGGTCATGTCAAGAGCTGATAGCAAAGGTAGAGTAATGCCTTTAGAGTAATGGTAGAGTAATGCTAGCCTGTTTTGAAAGAGTGTGCAGAGAAACATTGTGTTTATAGCTCTTTTTCCTACAAACCCATAGGATTGTTCCTCTGCCAGCTTCAACTCTATTCCCTTCAGCACTTCCCCCTACTCACAGGTATAGAGCTAGATATTAGCTGTGGCCTGAGAGCCATGCTTCTTAAAAAAAAGAGCATCAAAAAGGGGATATGATATTGGCTATAAACTCACAATAATTTCTTTCCATAATCTTCTCTCATGAGACACTCTTAGCTCCAAATTTGTGGTTTCTAATAAACACTTGAGTGTCTTTCTATAGGAGACAAGCTCCCAGACTACATTATATTCTTGATCAGGACTTTATAGCTGCCCTTTTATATAAAACATTAAAACTGTGAGTTGGAACACATTTTAAAAGAAAAAGAGATGCATGTATTAAAGCGTGAAGATGACCATATGACCGATATGCTTTAAACAAAATATAGTCCCAAATTTACTGTCACAGAGTACCCAATTTATGAAGGTTACATTCTACATGCATGTAAAACTATTAGTCTTAAATTTTAAAATAATTCTGCCCTCATTCTGAGTCTGTAAAAGGAAAGTAAAAATATGTGCAGGTATCTGTATTCTAAAAGACAAGAGTTGTGCATTGTGTAAGAGTATTGTCCTCTAATCTTGATTTTGGAAGATACTTTAAAATTTTCTTTCAGCGATGGTTTCTCTGGGTTGAATAAGTGTGCATGACATTATCCTGAGCCTACCAGATCATCTTCCTCAGTATAAGTGAGTATATATTAATTTGATCAAAAGTGGAATATTTAGTTAATGAGTCGGTCAAGTATCTTTAGCTAATACTGTTTTCCCCAACACTGACATGATTATTCTAATGCATCATTTTGGTGGACTGAAGCCAATCAATCTGTGCTGCAGATTGCTGTGAGTTCTATAACTGCAGTCACTCAAGTCCAGCAATTTGGACAATCATCAACTGATTCTCTTTGGACAAGTCCATTTCTTGTGGATGCCCCAGAGATCAAAGCTCTGTTTTCCATTTTCTTCCAGCTTCCCAGAGAAAGATACCACAAAAATGCCCTTCTGTGGAAGCTTAATAGTTTCACAGACTGCACAGAGCCAGATAGTGCTCCAAGAAGTTGATTGAACAGGATCCTTAGGAAAACTAATCTTTTGTATTGTATCGTCTCTTCTATCTTTAGAGAAATTTGAACTGAAGCTTTCCTATATATTCAGACCAATTTCCTTGTCAAGTAGCAGTGCATGCATTTATCTCTTTTTATCTGTTGTTGACTCTTTTCCTCCAATTGTTGTATACAGGAAATAAATCTTCACAGTCTTCAAGAATCCCTTTAAAGCTCTTTCTCCACTTTACTCTAATTTAAAACCCTTTTGTGTCCCTACATCTACCTTGCACAAATCCAGTTTTTATCTAGCAAATTCTTCTCTCCACTTATGACAGCTATGCAAAGCAAATAAACCCTAAAAACACAAGAACCCTAACCAAGGCTTAAAAGTTTTCTTCTGTTTGTCTTTTGTACTGCTAATTTCTACTGTTTGTTTAATTTGCATTTTGCTTGTTATTCTAAAATGTCTTATTGAGCTTTCTAATTTAAAAGAAAATAGAAATTGTTTCCTAAAGAAATTACTTCAATATATTTGTTTAATATGCTAAAAACCATAACATAACTTATTTATAAGAGATGTGAGGTGTACCAACAGATCTTTATTATTGTGAATATATCCAACACACCTTCCTCCTCATATTTTCCCCCACAACAACAAATCTGTAGAGCTCAGAGAGAGTGACCACTAGATCAAATTGGCTCTGTTTTATATTATAATATTTTAACAATTGGTAAATAGCTAAAATAGCTTAATAAAGCCATATTAGGCTGTCATCTTTGAATAATGTTCCCATCTAGTTTGTAGCATCTAACTCAGTGGTTCTCAACCTTTCTAATGCCGCAACCCCCAACCGGTCGTAAGTTGAGGACTACTCAACCGGTCGTAAGTCGAGGACTACTCAGCTGGTGCAGCACCGTTTGCAGAATGGGACTTTTGGCGGGCTCAGCAGGGCAGAGACAGCCTGGACAATTCCTATTGGCTTTTGAAAGCCAATAAAATTAGACTCTATTCAAGAGAGTCTATTCTATTGGCTTTCAAAAGCCAATAGAACAGTGATTCTCAACCTTTCTAATGCCGTGACCCCATAATACAGTTCCCTATGTTGTGTTGACCCCCAAGTGGGTGTGGCCACCAATAAGAGGGAGTAGGACAGCTAGGGAAAAGGGAAAAAAAGGGCGGACAGCATGGTTTGGTGATCCCCGTGAAATGGTCATTCGACCCCAAATGGGGTCCCGACCCACAGGTTGAGAACCACTGCAATAGAATAAAAGGGAGTAGCACAGCTAAGGAAAAGGGGAAAAAAATGGCGGACTGTGTTGTTTGGCGACTCCCGTGAAATGGTCGTTCGACCCCAAATGGGGTCCCGACCCACAGATTGAGAACCACTGATCTAACTGATCTTAGTAGATCCCCCCAAAGTTAAGTGTGCTTGGACTTGTTCTGTACTTAGATAATCACTATAAGAAATTTCAGAGCTGTAGACTAAGAATTCAGAAGACATTCTGGAAGAAAGCACACTATATCTGTCTTACTGCCAAGAAAATATCATGGAAATAGACATGAATTCAGCAACATTTGAGTTTTCCTTGTGATAATATACAGTAACTATTGAAATAGCTTCTGGACCTTTCCAAAAAACAAATTGCTCAAACAAAAAAAGTTTTCCCCTTCCAAGGAAAATTCACATATACAGCTAGTGAATGTCCCTTCTCCATAACTTCTATAGGAGAGTGCAAACATTTGGAAGCACACCTCTTATAAACCCTAAGTCTAAAATCATCATAGGCTCTCTGCTGTTCTATTAATGTTCATCCTTATTATACTTTTGCCTCAACAAAGAGGCTATATATAAAACCTCATTATCATTAATTATCTTGTTATCTTACAGATATCTTCATGGAGAGAATGGATTCATTAGTTCTAATCTATGAGACAATAACCCTCTGATAGATATTAATATTTCTTCAGTTTTAGATAATAAAATAACTTAACCGTCTGTTGATATACTGTATTGGACTGAAACCCCCCAAAGACCCAACCCAAAATAAACCTCATTATGGCTTAGTACAATGTGTTCTCACAGTCACTATGACAATAAAAGTTAAGAGGCTGGTTAATCTATTTTCCTGTCCATCTCTAGCCAACCTAATTTATACCCTTTGTTGGTTTAGCCACTCTGTTTCTGACTAAGTGAACTACTAAAGAAAAGAAAAGAAAAGAAAAGAAGAAACTTTTATTAACATTTGTTGATCTGAAATGATGCAACATGTTCCTTCAGTTTTTTTAACCACCATAGACTTAATGGCTCCCCTTTCATCATGCCAATGAAGATAATTCTATCTCATAGATAATTTAAAGAGCTTTCTATAGAAATTGTCTTCCATTAAAAAAAAACTCAGTTCTTTCCATTTGACTCAATAGCATGCCTTTATTCTTCACTGATATTTCAGTGTGTTTTGCTAATTTTATTTATTAATGGTTTGTTATTATTTTAATTTATATATGAACTTTCTGTTAATTTAGTTTATATTATGCTTTTGCAAGATATTTATGTACCATAGAAAATATAACTTTGAGATATTGAAATTTTGTATTTAAGATGATACTTAAATATTATTAACTAATTTAATTTTTAAATGGCATATATCTTTAAATTCCTTTCAATCTTTTAAAATGTCTTCTGTTCCTAAATGCTAAAGTGACTATTATATCAACTGCTACTAATAATCGCTACTGCTTCTAGCCAAGTAAGGTAATTTAATGTATTTTACAGGAATATGTCTATGTATTCAGATGATTTATTTCTAGTTAAGTTTATATCAAATTATAAGCTCATTTTCCAACCCTGAAATTTCTAGAATATGAAACTGCTCAATAGGGGCCATCTGTTATACATCTAAAAATGTTTAACTTGAATTTTGTTACAATGGAATACCAGTTGGTGAAATAATAGTTATTTATTAAGTAGCTTCCTGTTCTGTTGCCTCTTTTGTCTGTGGGTGCATATAGTTCCTAATACTTTGTTATTATGTTTTATTCCCTTCCTTAAAATTATTTTCTTTTTAAAATTGAGCCATTTCTTAAGTGATTTCCAATAGATATTGCCCGGTATTGTCATAAGCAACTTTTAAAACATTTATATGAAAGAAGAAATTATTCTGTGCATTTTTGAAGAGAAATCTGTATTTAATTTGCTCCAAATGCCAAAATCTGATAAATTTGCTTCACCGGGTAGCAACATTTTTGTAACTGATACCTATTGACTACAAAGTTAAACCAGTTTCTAAAAGAGAGAGATGATGTAACTAGAGTAAAATGTCTGAGTTCTCAAAGTTTTATGAGCTTTGCATTTGTGTACTTAGTCATAAGGCTTTAAGCTATTATCTATATGCATAGAATCAAACACAAAAGACTGATTCACCCTTGAACTCAGAAATGGGAAAGATACTGTACTAACAGAAGTTTGGAACTGTAGAATCACTGCATTCTTGTAATCTTAAAAGTATAATGCTAGATCTATTCCCTTTGAAAGCAATTCCTATTGTATACAGGAAGTGTAACTCCAAGATAAATATGCACCAAATTTCAACCCTACATTTATTTATATAGAAAAGTTCATTTCTTAAGCGTTTGAAACATAATGATTTAACAATGCATGATAACCATTAAACAACTTATTTGCCAAATGTTCCCCATATACTTATTTCAAATATGAGTGCAGGAGAATTTTAAAGCTTACATGTTTTATCTTATTTTATTAACAGCTTAAAATTAAATACCTAGCAAAAAGTATTTTTTCACCCTAGATAAAGCTCACCAGGAGTCCAACTAGTAATTATCACAAACTGATGAAAGAATGAGCTCCTATTTTAACACATTGACTCCTATCCAAAGTTACATTTTGACATATTAAAGGAAGAGAAAATAGAGGGTGCCACCATGTTTTTCCCATTGAATTTGTGATACTTTCCCATTAAAGTTCTCTGGTGAAACTTTTACCAGGGTTGGCTAAACACCCACACAATTACAGACTTCTGATTCTGGATGGAATTGTAAATGAATTTATGCAGATTTCAATAAAAATTGGTCATTTCAGAAATGTCTACTCAATCACAAATGTCAAAGATAGAACAGGCTAGCAGAAAAGTCTGGGAAAATACAGGCAGGCTTTCCTATATAATATTAGATAAGCTAGGAAAAGAAGCCAATCTTACACTACTATGGAGCAAATGTATCAACTGCATAAAAGTCTTTTACATCATTATTCATTTTATCATATATGACAACTGCAGATAGTCCTCAACTGCTCACCACAATTGTGCCCAAGCCGGTTGTGAAGCGAGTTTTGCTCCAGTTTCTTTGCCATAGTTAATTACTGGAGTTATTAAGTTAAACAAATGCCAGTTGCTGAGTGTCCAAATTTTGATCACATGACTGTGGCGATGCTGCAATGGTCATAAGCAGGGCTTTTTTTCTCATAGAACGCCCAGAATGGAGTTCCGGCACCTTTTTGGGATAGAACCTTGTAGGGTAGGCAAGGTGGGTTGAATGACATGTGTGAGTTCCAGCACCTTTTTTTTTTTTTTTAGAAAAAAAGCACTGGTCATAAGTGTGAAAAATGGTCATAAGTCACTTTCTCCAGTGCCATTTTAACTTTGAATGGTCATTAAATGAATGGTTGTAAGTCGAGGACTACCAGCATTATTTCTGCATTATTTTACAGTTTTGTAACTTTCGGGCTCTGGGCCACACAGAAGCATAGAAAATATCATCAAGAATAATGATGATAATGTTGGTAGTATAAAGAGCACTTAACTAGAACACATGACATTATTTTCCCAACTAGTATTTCAGACTTGAAAGCATCATACAGAACAATTGTTATTACTTGGTGCTTTATAGTTGTTTAGTTTTTACATTTATTGGAATGCACATTTTTATTCTTTCCAAACTATTGCAATATTGGAAAGAAATTACGTAAAAGAGGTTGTCCATCTGTCTGCCATCACAGGACTTAAGCCAGCAAAAGAAAGATGGTCTTTGAAAATGGCAAGAGAAAGGGGTAATCAGACTGGCAGCTGTGAGAAAAACATTGTTCTGCATCCCTTGGGGGTGGGGCAGCATCTTAGATTGCTACTGCTATTTTTCCTCTCCCTCTGTGTCACATGATATAGATTGGGGTGTCCAATCCTGACCACTTTAAGATTTTTGGACTTCAATTCCCAGAAATCCCCAGCCAGTCTCTGTACATGCCATCATCTTTATGCTAAATTTGTCATCTTGTGGACTTCAATTCCCAGAATTCCCTAGCCAGCCATGCCATGCCATGCTGGCTGGGGAATTCTGGGAATTGAAGTTCACTGGTCTTAAAGCAGTTGAGGTTAGATACCCTTCATCTAGACCAGGGGTCCCCAACCCCGGGTTCGTGGACCAATACCAGACAATAGCATGCCAACAACCGGTCTGCACAAACAAGCAAAGCCCCATCTATGGGATGCAGCCAGCGCACAAACCATGCACTCTCCTGTCCATGGAAAAACTTTCTCCATGGAACCGGTCCCTGGTGCTCTGTCCTTCCTAGTGCACACCTACCCACAGCTTACACAGATACAGTATTAGAGGAGAGCAAAAACACAAACTCTCATATATTCTAACACCTCGAATGATCACTGCAGGTAAAGAATCTGGAAAGAATTCAGAAGCCATACTTTGCAGACTTTCCCTAGCTTGGTATTATAAATCTAGATTAGCATTTTTAACCAAAAAGTGGTCTACAAATATTATGAATACAGCATGTCAGTTATTTCCATAAAGCACTTTGAATATTTGCAAAGCTTTACAAAGTTCTTATTGCCTTTTCTGTGCCAGCAGATCTAGGGAGGAAAGAGCTCACAGAAATGATCAATGGGCCAGAAAAAAAACTGGACAGCATCTGAAATGGAACACAGATTTGTGTGCCATAAACTTCCAGAAAGAAATGAATTTTAATGTATTAATTCTCTGCAGTGGTTGAGGTAATTCTAGTTTTGGAAATCACGACCTTATAGGCCTCTCTCTCCCTTAAATAGCTAAATGGTCTAAAATTTGGTATGTCAGCCCTTAGAAAGGAAATTATTTCAGTGACAATGAAATAATGTGTATTATTCTTAAATGAAGATGGGAAACTTTATGGAGTGGCACCTTAGACCTTTGCCCTAAACTCCCTGCCTTGCTCACTTCTGATACAATCTGAATCCTACCAGTCTCTTTCTTCATCCATCATCCATATAACATATGATTTAGTCATTGGATACATTCAGTGACACTCCAATACACAAACACAATTTGCTTTTGATAATTATATAACTTTATAGTAATTAGTGCTTCCTCTTCTTGTTTTTTTTCCTGAAAAAAAGTTTCTTTCATTTAGCTGATTAAAAATTATTAGGTTAAAAAAATACATCTCAATCCATTGCAGTTTATATCAGGTGTATAACAAGTGCATGTTTATATTATGTCCAGGTAAATGTATTATTCTTCAAAGTGCTTCAAGATTCTTTGCTGCAACATGGCTATGCCTACAAGAAGGAGGTCATGCCATGATTTCTTTGGATGTATATCGTCTATAATGCTGATAACTGGTGGGAATTTGATATCCTTGATAGATTTTAGACTTCAACTCATCATCTCCAGCCAACCTGGCCATTGCAAGATATTGGAAGTTCTCCAAAACATCTGGATTTTCTAGCTTTTATATAAGCATATATAATGCTTGATTAATTTGCACATTTTTTATTGTAATTGAAATCCCACTTGTCAAAAGTGAAACCTGAATACTTCTTGACTTTCTATCAAGGTCCACCCATAAATCACATTTATTAATACAGGGGCTACAGCATAAGTGAAAATGCATAAATTTGATTTTATTTAGAATTTCTGTTTTAAAAATAGGGTCAGAAAGAAATATAAATTAGTTGCAGGATGATGAGGGGCAAAAATGAATGGAGCTGAAATATTTCAGGACAGACCTAAAAGACAGGGTGCACTCACAGTCCCATTTTAGGAAAGGAAAGCCCTTTTGTCAACCACCAGTTACTCAAAATCATAGACTACATTTACAGGAAAGATGGCAATTAAGTTCTTTTACCTCCTTTTCTAATATTCCATTTCTGACCTTCCTGACTTATAATCTCTGCACTGTGTATACAGATACACATTTTGCTGCAAAAGTATAGAATGGAGAGTTTCTAGGTAGAAAAGTAAGAGTTTTATTTGTTTTCTTTCTTGATGCTTAATAAGTTTTTTTTTTAAAAAAAATCAGATTTCTATGCTACAACATTTCAGAAAGCTTGGATGGGAACTACTGGGGAGAAAAACTGCAGGTCAAATATACATGTATACATATACTGTTGACAGCCCAGATTATCCACCTCTCTAAAAACCACTCTATGAACAAAATATAGAAAGCATGCACTGTGCAACTACTTACATCGTGAAAAATTGCTAATCCCTTGTCATAGTGCTGGGGGGTCTCTGTGGCTTTCATGCGGTAAGCATGTTTGGCAGAGAGTAAACACATTGTCAGCATCTCTGTACATGCCATCATCTTCGTGCAAGAGATTTGTCAATTCTTTCACACTGATGTTGATCTTTCTGATCTCTCTCCCACTCCAAAAAGTTGTCTGCCTCCCTGGTTGTCCTGGATTCAGTGATGGTTAGCTGCTGAAGCTGCTGTGCAAGAGCTGGAAACAGCAACTAACTGAGCACTGAAGAGATGCTTTTGCCAGCCTCCAGGCAACTTTCAGTGTATGCTTAAAACCCTCCCCTAGATTGCGCTGATTGGTCAGAATTTCTGATGGGCAAGTTTCCTCTTAGAATCTCATCATCACTCTGGAGCAGCAGACTCAGCAAGAGATTCCTCCTTGGAGAGAGGAGGATTTACTGTAAGGATTTACAGGCCGAGCTTCTGTTTGCTGCAATGGACCTGTGCCTATTTACACCACTCAGCTGGAAAAGTATTGAAGAAGAAAAGATTACGAGAAGAACAATCTATACAGCAGATATAAATACACCAGATAAAAGATGAAAGACCGAATAATCTGAGCATGAAAGAAAATTAAGGGTGCTGCACCAACAGATTCATAGGTACAAAAGGATAACAAAAGCAAGAAGTGGGAAGGGAAAAATAACAGATGTGCAACCAACTTGTGTTGATGACGCTAATTACTATGTCCTGAACAGATACTTCCTTATATGTCTGACAAAGCTATTTGTGCTAAGATCAGCTTACACAGCTGGATAATGTGTCCTATTGGTCAAAATGTGCCAACCCTGAGACAGAGAATGCCACATGGGGTATATGTAGGACTAATGCAGGTAACCTAAATATGTCTTTTCTACCTTACAAAGCATTATGTGAACTCTTTGACTGACCAAACCATGAAGAGCAATGGGGTGTGCATGTGTTCAATATTGATATCCCTCTGGTGATGTTTTCTTTTTCTTTTCTCCTATCTCATGTGTTAAATTTTGTTGGTTTATTTTAATTTTATATCTTTTTTTACTGTTTCATGTTGTTGTTGCTTACCCTGAATAAAAAGAACAGAGTTTTTAATAGTTACTGTATGAATATACATACACATATGCACACACATCCTATTTTAATCACAAAAATAGTAAGAAAGGGATTTTCTACTCAGGGATAAACCACAAATGGTCAAAACTATCTTGGAACATTCCCAAGACTAGTGCTATATGTAAAATAAAAACAGTTCTTAGAAATATGAAATCTTTTTATTTTGCATTATACTATACAGTATAACCCTTCTGAGATAACTGTATCTAATGTGAAAAGAAAGGAAGACAAAATGCTTTACCAGGTGGACAATTTTTTTTTTACTGTATGACAGAGAATCTGCATAAGCACTTCACTTTTTTCACGGTTTTTCCAGTACATTTTGTCACCACAGCAAGTCTATGGACTGGGTTCAGACATTCAAAGGAATGGTTTCCCTAATGTCTTTCCTGCTTTATCTCACACCCAGAATAAAGCCCTTGTTTTTATTATGACAATAGTCCCAACCGTAACCAGTCATTTATTCAGTCCTGTCAATCTTTGAAGGGTTAGTGAATATCCCTTAACACAGAATTAGAGAAACTTCACTTTCTGCTGCAGAGATAAGACTATTTAATCAATAATGCCAGAAGAAAAACAACCTAAAAAATTATATAGCCTGTGAAGATGCAAAAACCTTAGGGACTATGAGCCTCCGTGTTTGCCAAGAAGCTGCCCTTATAAGCAAACATTTGCTTTTGGGTGAGCTTTGAAGTTCATTCTTGGAGACAATTCCTTCTGAAATACAGTCCAAGTTCTTTTGGTCATCTAAGAGTTATGAGATAATTGCACTGCTTTTATTTTCCTTCATTGCCGAGACTGCCGATAATATACAAAACTAACATAGTGAGAAAGTTTTGTTCTTCCTCTAGATTCATAGCTGAAAACAAAAAAAATTATTACATAAAATTGGGATAGCAGTCACTAGTGACCAAGAATGCAGATTTAATTCCAGTGAACTGTAAATGCAATTCCATAGTTGAACCAAGTTCCTAGTGAGATGGCATGCTGTTCTCTGAAAAGTGAAAGCTTAATAAGAGCAAGATCTCACTTTACCAAAGAATTATAGACCCATATCTCTTTTAAATGTGGATTATAAGATATTTGTAAAGATTTTAGTAAATAGGTTCATGAGGGTTGTGCATCATCTTGTGCATAAAGATCAATCTGGGTTTATAACTGGTAGATATATGAAAAATAATGGTAGACAAATTATTAATTTATTAGAATATTTAGACAAGAACAACCAAGTCCCTGCAGGGTTGATTTTTTTAGATGCTGAAAAAGCCTTTGATCAACTGAATTGGCATTTTATGTTAAGAGTAATTGAAAAGATGAACTTTGGTGAAAAGATATTACAAGCTCTCACGGTAATTTATCAAAAACAAACGGCACAACTTATTGTTAATGGAGGTTTGTCAGAGGTATTTACAATAGAAAAAGGTACTAGGCAGGGATGTCCACTATCACCGTTGTTGTTTGTTTAACATTGGAAATATTGTTGATCAAAATTCGAGATTCGCAGGAAATTAAAGGAGTAGAAGTTAATAAAAAAGAATACAAGTTAAGAGCCTTTGCAGACGACTTGGTGGTTACTTTGTCGCAACCTATTAGTTCTGTAGTAAAGTTATTGCAGTTAATTCATCAATATGGTTTGGTTTCGGGTTTTAGGATTAATGTTAACAAGACTAAAATCTTACCTAAAAATATGACTATTCAGGAGAAGCAGACTTTGGTTAACTTGACGGGTTTTGAAATTGTTAATAAGGTAAAATATTTGGGGGTGATGCTATCTGTCTCTAATGCAAAATTATTTAAAAACAATTATGATAGGTTGTGGGTTAGTGTACAGAAAGACTTGAAGAATTGGGAGAAGTTGCAACTATCTCTCATGGGAAGAATTGCAGTGATAAAAATGAATATTCTACCTAAGTTTCTTTTCCTGTTCCAAATGTTACCGATTTTGAAGAATGAGATTAATTTAAGTGAATGGCAGAAGGGTGTTAATAAATTTATTTGGGCAGGGAAAAAGCCAAGGGTCAAGTTTAAAATTATGTAAGATTTCCGTGAGAGAGGTGGACTCAAGGTACCGAATTTGAAATTATACTATGATGCTGCGGTTTTAACAATAATTAGTGACTGGGTAAACTTGACAAATCTTGAGATACTTCATCTAGAGGGATGGGATTTACTCTATGGGTGGCATGCCTATTTAATATTTAACAAAAAAGTGGACTGGGTTTTTAAATCTCACATTATAAGAATTTCCTTACTTAGGGTTTGGAAAAAGTACTACAAAAATGATTTTAAAGTACCATTATGGGCTATACCTTGGCATGCGATAGAGGGAATAAAAAGAGGTGTCAAAATGGACATGGTGTCTTATAGACAATTACTCAGATGGGATCGACAAAATTGGCAATTAAAACTACGGGAGGATTTAGCACAAGAAAATATCATTTATTCTTGGTTCCAATATAGGCAACTAGCAGATAGATGGAAGGTGGATTGTAAGGTGGGCTTTCTTAGAGAAGATGAAAATCTTATTAAGCAAGTGAAGGATCAAAGACAAGCCCACATTAAGAGAATTTATGGGGTGCTAGTCGAACTGGATTCGGAAACGGAATTAATTAAAGATTGTATGATTAAATGGGCCCAAAACTTTGGCGAACCAGTCCCATTGGACATATGGGAAATCATATGGGTAAGAAATGTCAAATTTACGCAGGCACAGAATTTAAGGGAGAATTTTTACAAAATGTTTTATAGATGGCACCTTGACCCACAAAAAATGTCTTTCATGTACCCTGACCTACAGCCTAAATGTTGGAGATGTGACTGTTTGGATGCCACTTATTATCATATTTGGTGGTCGTGTAAAGAGATAAAAGCATTTTGGATTAAGATATGGTGGAATATCCAGAGAATTTTTAAAAGGAGGGTAAAATTTACTCCGCAGTTATTTTTGTTGGGTATAATTATTGATTGTGATACAAAGGAGGCTATATTGATGTTAAATTTGATCACAGCCACAAGGCTGTTAGTAGGACAATATTGGAAGAAGGAATCCTTGCCTACACTGCAGGAATGGTTTTCCAAAGTGTCTTATCTGGCGGAAATGGCAAAGATTTCGGCTTTTTTAAAGGATCAAACGCAAGAGAAATTTCTTGCTGTTTGGGATAAATGGATAGAATTTATACAATTTAAATTGGATATTAAAAAATACCATGTTGCCTTTTCATAATTTTTATTTATATATATATATATATATATATATATATATATATATATATATATATATATATATATATATATATATTTCCTAGTTTTAAACTTTCATTTTCTTTTTACATATATATTTTCTAATTCCTTTTCAATTAAGCCTATATTCTGCTCTGGGAAGCTCAGGGGGGGGGAAGGGGGGTGTTCTGGGGGGGGTGCGGAAGGGGATGTTATGTTTAGTTTTTTGTGTATTTTGTATTTTTTGTTTTTGAATTGTTGTATTTTTTTTCTGTTTTTTTGTTTTTTTGTCTTTTTTGTAAAAATTTATAAAAATGTTCAATAAAAAAAAAAATAACCATGCATAAGGACTATTTTATTTTGATTCCTTTATGGAAACATGGGTTGGACTTAGTTATATAACTTCTTTCAACTCCAGGACTCTATGGTGCTACGGTTACTTTTAAGAAATTCCTCTCTTAACTCAAGGTGGTAAACATACATAATACTCCTTTCTCCTCCTCTTTTTCTCCCACAACCCCCCTGCAAGGTGGCTTGGAGTGAGAGAGAGAGAGAGAGACTGGCCCAAAGTCACCCAGCCAGCTTTCATGCCTAAGGTATGACTAGAACTCACAGACACCTGGTTCTAGGCCAGCACTTTAACCACTACAACAAACTTGGACTCAGATTACATTCATTTCTCTCCCACCCTTTTTCTTTTTACAATGCATCAATTAGTCAAATTCTGACAGGTTCCTTATGATGTAAATCAAAGTAATGAAGGTGATTTAAACAACTTTAAATACATTTCTGACTGAACAGCTAATGCACTGACATCAGAGAGTATGATTCACCAGGAATGTAGAAAAAACAAAAATCTTTCACCACGGGGGGGGGGGGGGGCTTAGTGTTACTTTCAAATTCCAATAAAACTGGAATATTCAATATTTTGTATTTCTGGAAGCATCTAACCAGATTTAAGTTAAGTCTCTACAGCACTATCTAATTTCTCTGTGTGTACTTTGATACTCAAACATTTAAAAAATGCATCCTTCTGGAAAGAGAGTTCTGATGTTGTTTCTGGAATGTATTGGAGCCACTCTCTCTGTTTAGGAGTCACAGCCTTGAGTGCACCACTCCTGAGACTACTTGGCCTTTACTTTCCACATCCTGTCTGGTCCCTCCTTCAGCCCCTGGTATTTCTCCAGCTTCTCATACTTCTTCCCGATATTGCTATTCCTTGGCATTGTTACATCTATCATCGCTGCTGTTTTCTGGTCCTTGTCTACTTCCACAATGTCTGGTTGATTGGTTAGTACCTGCCTGTCCATCTGGATCTAGAAGTCCCAGGATCTCAGCCCTCTTATTCTCTACAATCTTCTCTGGAAACTTCCATCTGTACTTGGAAGGGTCTTGCAGATGTTCTTATACGCAATGCCAACTACCGTACTTGATAGTCGTGTTCAGTATATGCTGTTCCTGCCTGCATCTTACTATATGCTACTATATGTTGGGCTATTTCTGAAGCCTTACTACACAGTCTGCACCTTGAGTCCTGTCTAGTATGGTAGATCCCTGCTTCCATGGATCTGCTACTTCCATGGGCCTGTTCTTGTGCTGCTATGATCAGTGCCTTGGTGCTGTCTTCTAGTCCAGCCCTTTCAAGTCACTGGTAGGATTTCTCAGTGTCTGCTGCCTTAGCTATCTGTTGATCCTAAGCAAGTCTTGTCTTGCCATGACACTTCCTCTGTTTGAACTTTCTCTCGTATGTGCTGCTGCCTCAAACATCCTCTCAGCACTCATCTTTGTGTGTGCCATCTTAGTGAAGTGCTCCAGGACAGTGGCTTTGAACTCATTGACTTATATAAATAATTTAACTATCACTGGGAGTAAGGTCACTGTCAGTATAAAACTATATTGACCGCTGTCAATATAATTAACTTGCAAGTTTGAAAGAGCAATTCTTCCTCTCCACCCCCTCCAAGGACTTGACAGGCTGAGAAATTAGGGAGGGTCCCTTCTGAGCTTCTTACCATGTCCACTATCCAGTTGCAGGCTATGCTGCCTCTTATCTGACCATTCTCTTGCCATCGTCTATGGGCCCAGTCTCCCAAGATCTTTCCATCATACCATCACACCTCCAGATGTTTAAAAATTCAACTGTCTTAATTCCTTGGAATTAATCATGTGCTAGGGAAGGCTGTATAAAGTTTTACTATTCAGGAATGAATTCTCTCTCCAAAATCTCTTTGTCTGCTACTTTACACGTGGTGTGCTAGCAGAGGAGGGCCATTATATGTAGGGATATCCAGATTCAAGTCCATCCTCAGTCACAGAAGCAATCTAGGTGACTTTGGGTCTGTCAGTTTCAATCCAATGTACAAGAAACAAAGGTTTCTTGTGTGGGAAAAAATGGTGGAAGGAATGCTGCTACAATTCCTAGCAGGAAGGCAGAATACACCCAAGTAAATCTTTTTTTTTTCATCAGGGTTTCATAGGACACCAAAGCAATTTGGCAGCCTAAATTCTCTCCATGATATTTGCCTTATTTCATCTCTAGGCCATGATTGAAACAGCATGATCTCGCTCTTTTCTGCATTGCAAAACTCAAAAGAAGAAGAAGAAAGTCAGGACAATTCATCATCATTCTGGCAACTCCTGTTGCAAAAGAAAGAGCAAGTAAAGAAAAACTCTGGCACCTAAGTAGACATTATGTGGTAGGTTGCAACAGAGCCTCTGGGAACTGCTGAAACAGATTTTGACCAGGTGGCAGCTTATTTTAGGACAGTAATGTATTTTCTGGTGTTTCTTTAACAATAAGGAACAGATTATGGATTGCAGATGATTAAAAAAACTGGCTGTTAGGAATAAAATTTGG